ACGCCTTTGCGCGCGCGGGGGGGGGGGGGGGAGGGGGGGGGCGATCCGTGTCGAATAATGCCATGCGGGCCACTCTCACGCATCGGCCACGCGCGCATGTCGAACTCCATCCAAAACATTCATCACCGACGCGAGGACGCCATCATCGTCGCCGGCGCGTTTCGCGTCGGCACCGTCACTGACCGCGGCGTCGTCTTTGTCAACGTCATCGCCAGCATCGCCGCTATCATCATCGCGTCTACTGTTGTCGACGTTGCCATGATACCGCGCCCGCCCATGTCGTCGACTCGCACTGAAGTGCCCGCTGGGATGCGCCCAGCGGTCAGCGCCACCGCGGCCGCGTCGGTCGCGCCAAACTAGCTGACCGCCGCGCGCAAGTGCACGCGCGGGTGCCAACACTCAGCACTTATGGTAATCGCCGCGGCTTGTGATTTACAAAACAAGTTGCGGGTGGGCAGGTGGGGTGGTCGCGCTAGCACTGGACTTGACAACCGCGAGTTCCTCGAGCGAGTTGCGACACGTAGATTCTCCTTTCTAAAACGTAAATAAACTCTCCCCCCCCCCCCCCCGGGATCGCCCGCTCCCCCGTGCGCATTGTAATTTGCGCATGGTTCTGCCGCACCATCCATCCTAGATATGAACTCACGCCATCCCAGCCGAGCCGGCATCGCCACCCCCTCCCCCCTCCCACCATCATCTGCAACAAGTACCATGCGCGCGCATTCGTTGTTCAAGAACCCCCGGCACAAGATACGACGAAGTGCGCGCGCGCTGTCACGCGCGCGTGCCGAAATCCTTGAGGAACCTCGAGCTTCGTAAAGATTTCAAAGTCGATGTTCAAACGTATCTACATATAAACACAAGGTTTCGCAGCAGGGGTTTTCCCAGAAAAAAACCTTCGCGCACGCGCGCTCATGCGATTTAAAAAAAAAATATTCAAAAAATAATAATAATAATAATAATAAAAAAAAAAAAAAAAAAAAAAAAAAAGTTCAACGTTTTCAGAAAATGCGACCAAACGGGCTTCGCGCGCGCATGTCGAAATCGTTCGAACGCCCTCGAGCGCGTGCTGTCGCGAGAATCCTTCTGCCAAAAAATGAGACGAAATGCGCGCGCGTCGTCGCGCGCTCGCCGAAATCCGCGAAACAAAACTTCGGCGACGCAACGTTTTCAAAACCGAATGTCCAAGACCACATGTGTTTTCGCAACATCAAGACGTGGGTGACGGCGCCCAACTATCTGGCACAGGGCCAAGTGGCGGCGAGGGCCGCGGTCCAACCCTAGCCACCGCTCAAGACATGCACGCGCTGGCGACCATCAACGCAAGTGGTGGAAGGCTTACGCCGAAGAATAAGATTCAATGGGCCGCAACGCACGCTGCGCTGATTTAAGAAGACTGGCTTTACGGACAAGCTGAAAACAATCTGGAGTCATTGCAAAGCTGGGCTGCCAACAGAGGATGGAGAGTTTCTGCGATGCCCGCGTGTCCTACGACGGGTTCTGTACCATCGGGTGGATTTACAATCCTGGCGCGCCCTGATCTTGGACTGCGGCGCCCCGCGAGGTGGTCGGCAGATTCATGGCCGCGGGTTGCCGCGCGTTCTGACAGATACGCAAGGATGGGCCAGCCTGACCGTCCTCGCCATTTACCAGCAGGACTCCATCGGCACCAATGGTGAGAATGCTGAACTACTGGCAGCAGCTGGAAGGATCGCGTCTCGCACGCGGACCCCATGCACCATCGGCGGCGACTGGAACATGACAGGCCAGCATTTTGAGAAGTCTGGGCTCCCCAGGTTGACCTCGACAGTGCTGGCGATCCCAGATCCAGTCGCCTTCGGAGGTGGGACTGGATGCTCGACAGTAGATTACGTCGGGCTCGACGATGCGGCTTTGAGGAGTTATCGAAGGGCCCGGGTTCAGTCGTTCAGTCGCGCCGGCGCAAGAAGGTTCGCCGACCCGTCCTGCGCAAGCTGCTTGACAACGGGCACTCGATCCAGCACTTCATTCACGTGGTCACGACGCGGCTCCAACCCGAGCTACATCCAGCACCTCTCACAAAACCGATCAATTGGTCCATTCATGCTGCTCTTTCTGCCGCGGCCGTGCAGACTGCGAATGATTGTCCCTGCGATCCAGCAGTGGCGCGGGCGCTTATTGCCAAACTTCATGGCGAGCTTGAGTGCGAGTAGCTGATTCGTCGCCAGGAACGCCGGCATTGAGCTCAAGGATGTCGGGGCATGCGGCAGGAAACTCGAGCCTTGATGGGCGAATGCCGAATGACAGATGCACTGGGAGAGCGACGTCCAGGCCACGGTGCAAGGTTGGCAGTGGATGAGGGAGGCGCTCGTAAGTTTTCTGAAGTCGCACGCGAAAGCACATGTGATGGCGAAGTGTTCGGAGGATAGTGCGAAATTCTTGAGCAACGCCCACCCACGTGCTGGTCTCAACTGGCGGCGTGGCAGCGCGGCGCAGCAGGCCAGGACCTTGTCCACATCCGGAACTTCTTGGACAGAGTCGATGAGGGCGTATAGCTGGCCATCAGGGGCCAGGAGAAGGATCCGAATGCCTCGCGGAACAAGTTGCGTCAAACAGCGGCCAGGTGGAGGATCGCGACTACTTCGTCGCACGACGAAGATTCGAATCATGCCAGATCAATCAGTTGCTATTGGCGCTCCATGGGGCGATCCGGTCATCATTGCCAACCAGGAGGTCGAACTGCATTGCAAATTTTGGGGCTTTCAATCCGCAGCATCATCAGCATGGCCCCCTGACAGACGCAGTTTTCCCAGAGTGGACCCACATGCGATGCGCAAAGTGGCCGGGAGTGCTCCCGCGGGAGCATGCCAGCCTGGACGAATTCCGCCAGAGGCAAAAAAAATCCTACTCGACGATGGCGGACTCAGCGCGCTGGCACCCATGTGGCAGGCATCGGAAGCATTGAGTCTACACCTTATGCGATGCTTAAGAAAACTTAAGTTTTCGGCCAGAGTCTCGATTATTCTTAACGTTTCAATGTAAATCCTATGATTTTGAGAGAATTGTTGGGTTTTTATTCAATTTCTGAGACTATGAATTTCTTAACCCATGATTTCTTAAGCATCTCGCAGGGTGTACTACCGAAGCAGCTTTGTTGGATTCAGGAGCCTCTCCTGGGCGTGCCAAGTGGCAGAAAAAAAGGACTGGCAATGCTTTGTGCGAGCACGCGCCGCGCGCGGCAGCGAGCGAGACGCCCGCCCGAACAGCGCACGCCGCAAGCGCTGAGTAGGCAATGTCGGGGAGCCGCCAAGGGACGCTCTGTTACTGACTGCGTTTGGGTGCAGCTCGTTCGCTCCTAGGTCAGACCAGGCCTTCCGCGAGCGCGGTGTTGTGCTCGTAGCGGACTGGTCCGACTTCCACGAGGCGACGCCACTAGACGTGCTACGAGTCTGTTTCGACACGGATTTGCCCACGCAAAACGGGATAGGTGGCATGGCAAACCAAGAACGCCGCACAAACCGACCCGCGATTGGTAAGCTCATGCTGTGCACCGTGGCCCAAAAGGCTTCGACGCGGTGTTCCTGTGCGCTGGCTGATGCTAATGTTTGATACTTGGCTGCGCCGACGCATTACAGTGCGGGCGCGGCCGCAAGAAACCCTCGCAAGAAACCCAACCCTGAGAATCCGTGCGCGAGGTGCACCTGAGGGGAAACCTGGAGCACCCTGAACGCAGCAGCTCCTTCCACGACCGCGGGAAGTCGCCGCGCAGCGCGCGGAGCGAAGAAACCCAGGACTCCCCGACGAAGAGCAGATGGCTTCTTGCTGCGCGCCCCCACTGCAGTCGACTCGACAACTGCTCGCTCGACTCGACCTCCCCGCGGGCGGCGCGTGCGCCGGCGCAGCAGCAAAAGGTGAACGCCGCGGGCGCCGCCGGCGCACTCGCCCCGGGGGGCTCCCGCGCTCGACGTGCGCGTGGCCGCGATGGGCGGCGCGGGCCTCCACGAACTCGTCGTCCGACGCTGACGCAGCGAGGGATACTCCAGATTTCGTAATAGAGGGAGGGGGGTCTCATTTCGGGGGGGGGGGGTCTCTTCCAGGCTATCTTGGAGGGCCTTGGGGGGTCTGGGGACGGTGTTTTGGAGGGTTCTCCCACGGGGGAGGTCTGAGATGGCTTGTCTTGGAGGGTCCAGACCCCCTCCCTTCTATTACGAAATCTAGAGTATTGTCTCGGGTGGGATCCAGCACCCCTTCCCGGCAAACAGGGCCACTAATGCTATCATCAACGACGGTAAGCCGGCCATCGTCACCGCGTCAGGAAGTTGCGAATGAGGTCCGCGATCGGCTGGAGCTCCGTCGCGGCGCGGTCAAAACCAGCCACAGGGACCTCATCCCCCCAAGTTGTGAGGACCACCTACGTATGAGCAGCGATTGAGCGCGTTGATTGGGCGAATTCGGGTGAAGGAGAGCACTTGGGATGCCCAGTCAGAGGGGTAGTTTTGTGGGCGTTCCTGGGGCACTGTCCCTGATTCGTTCTCCCCATCCCTAATTTGCATTTCGGTATGTGGTGGGATTCTGTACTGCTGAGCGCTCCCCCGCTATAGGCATTACATTCCTCCTCCGCCTCCTCCTCTTCCTCCTCCTCCTCCCCGTCCTCCCGTCTTCTTCATCTCCCCATCCATTCCCGTCCTTTTCCCTCCTCCTCCTCCGCTCCTCCTCCCCCCATCCATCTCCCCTCCACCCCTCGAATACGACGGCGAACGACGGCGAACGACGGCGAACGACGACGACGACGACGACGACGACGACGACGACGACGACGACGACGACGACGATGCAAGCGACGACGACGAAAGCGACGACGACGACGAAAGCGACGACGACGACGACGACAACAACGACAATGACGACGACAACAACGACGATGATATGACGACGACGACGACGACGACGACGACGACGACGACGACGAAGACAACGACGACCCTAATTTGTGTTCGTTATGTTGGGCGCCCCCGCGGCGCCCTGTCTGCCGCCGCGACGCGGCGCTGAGGTTCCAAGTGTGCACGCCGACGGACTCGAGGTACTGCTCGGTGATGTCGAGGAATTCGACGTAGCCCTCCTTGGGGGGGGCGGGGGCGAGGGAGGAAAGGCGGTGAATGGTGGGAGGATGGGGAAATTGGGCAGGACACGCCCTCCTCCTCGTCCTCCCCCGCTGTCACAGGCTCCCATCTTTGCGTCTATTCGGCGTCCTGCCCATCCTCCTCGTCCTCCTCCTCCTCCTCCTCCTCCTCCTCCTCCTCCTCCTCCTCCTCCTCGTCCTCCTCCTCCCTCCTCCTCCTCCTCCTCCTCCTCCTCCTCCTCCTCCTCCTCCTCCTCCTCCTCCTCCTCCTCCTCCTCCTCCTCCTCCTCCTCCTTTGCGGGCCTCGCGCAGCCGAGCACGGGTCTGCCGCAGGCTCCGTGCCCCCCTGGGCCCGCGTGCCGCCCCGCTCGGGGGCAGACAGGGGCCTCATCCCACTGCGCAGTGGTGTGGATGCCACGACGATGGACATCCTACCAGTCCTATCATTGAACTGAACATGTGTTTACACGGTCGGGAAAATGTTCCAACCATGCGTTAAACCTGTTGTTCCCTACCTAGGCTCTGCCTAGAAGGGTTCTTACTCTGTAGCTTAAAGGGGCCGGGCAGTGCAACCCGCCCCGGGCGGTTCCCCCGGTCCCCTGGGAGCGGTTCCCCCAGTTGCGCCGCCCTAGCTGTAGCTTCAGCTTTAGCTTTAGCATTAGCTTTAGCTTTAGCCTTAGCGTTAGCTTTAGCTTAGTTGTAGCTTAGCTTTAGCTTAGCTTTAGCTTAGCTGTAGCTTAGCTATAGTTTAGCTGTAGCTTAGCTTTAGCTTAGAGTTAGCTTAGCTTTAGCTTAGACGTAGCTTAGCTTTAGCTTAGCTGTAGCTTAGCTGTAGCTTAGATTTAGCTTAGCTTTAGCTTAGATTTAGCTTAGCTTTAGCTTAGCTTTAGCTGAGCTTTAGCTTAGCTTTAGCTTAGCTGTAGCTCAGCTTTAGCTTAGCTTTAGCTTAGCTTTAGCATAGCTTTACCGTTACTACTAATGCTGCTTTCCTAGGGGCTCCAACTCCTAGGTAGGGTCGCACTAGGATAATTACATGCCTAGAACATGTTTGACACATGTTGTAGGCATCTGGAAATGATTTGGCAACATGCTTCCTCCCCACTGATCGTCCTCCACAGGCCCAAGTACCCGCAACGCGGTCCTGGCCCTCGGGCTCCGCGGCGCAGGCGCCGGGCGGTGGGGTCAGAGGCCCCCTCGCGGGCCCCTCGCCCGCGCCGCGGGCTATTCCACCGCCTCCCGGCTGCTCGCTCCGTCTCGAAGCTGGACACGCGTGTGGGTAAGACGGAGAAGCGCTTGGACACGAATGGCCCGAGGGTTGACAAGCTCGAGGCCGTTTGCGAGAGTATCGGGCAAACGAGGTTTCCATCCATGGGATCCTCCATGGAGGCCAGAATCCGTGAGTGCATCGGGAAGTGCATGACCAAAGAGTCGGGGCACGACCCGGGGGACAAGATGCCCTCCACCTCTGGGAAGTTGGACAAGCGCGCCCTGAGCATGGTAGTTGAAAACCTGGATGCGCTGGAACACCTCGAGAGTGCCACAGAATGGCTGCATGGCAAACTCGCCGACCTGGGTGGACCTGCGCCGGACAAGATCTACGCCAAGGGGGAGTTCAAGGGCATCCTGTTTGCTGAATTCCCCAGCCAGGTTTCTCGAGATACCGCAGACGATCTTCTCAGGCGTGCTAGCTTCAGGAGCGGCGAGAAGAACGTCTGGGCCAGCCAGGACCGTCCCCCGGCGGACCGGGCAGCCCGCAACTTTTGCTTGGGCCTCAAACGCGTGGTGAACGATGAATGGGAAGCGCCGTATAACGCATCCGTGGACGGAGGCGGCGACTCCCCCTACATCGTGACCGTCGGAGGAGGAGCACGCTCTCACAGCCAGGGTCGACGGCATCAACGTTTTCTACGACTGGCAGGGCGCGTGGGCCACGTGGGGCACGTGGCACAACAACTCCCGCGCCCAGGAGTTGAACGGGAAGTCGCGCGAGCTTCTGGCCCGGGCGTCGCAAGGCATGAAGGGAGGGAACGTTGGAAAAGAGATGCACAAAGGTTCCGGGGGAATAGGCGCCGGCCCCCGGACTAGTCTCCCCGGCAGTCGGCACTACTGCCCCCATGAACCCAAATCGGTTGAGAATTCGGTCCGCAACATCGCAGGCCACATGTACATGCACATGCACGCTACGTACTCCAGATTTCGTAATAAAAGGGAGGGGGTCTGGACCCTCCAAGACAAGCCATTTCAGACCTCCCCCGTGGGAGAACCCTCCAAAACATCGTCCCCAGACCCCCCAGGCCCTCCAAGATAGCCTGGAAGACACCCCCCGAAATGAGACCCCCCTCCCTTTATTACGAAATCTGGAGTACTGGCACTGTTGCGGGAGCCCTGTCTTGCTTCTTGAAACGTGGGGGGGCTGACTGAGGCGAAGGTGGAGGAACCCCAGGAGCGTATACACGCGCTAGACATCGATATTCTCGCAATTCAAGAAACGCGCAAGCACGAGTCTGTTCACAGTGTTACTGACATGGATTTCTTGCATGCTCGCTCTGGAGACGCTGACGACCCCGACGCGGCAGGAGTCGGTTTCCTAGTCTCCCCTCGCGCCCGGAGGAGCGCCATCGGCTTCCAGATGGTGACCGCGAGAATCTCCTGATTGAAGTTGCGCGCCCCGGGCGGGGAAGTCCAGAATGTTAGGATTTGCGCGCCTCGTACAGAGAAGCCGCACGAATGCAGACGAGATTTCTACCACTAGCTCGGCAGCGCCATCGCCGGTATTTCCAAGAAGCACGGGCACGCCGTGGCGCTGGGCGGTTTCAATGCCAGGTCGCATCGACGGTTCGGTGGAGAAGAACGCTACTCAGGCGATTACGTATTCGGAGATGCTCGCGCCGAACACGACCCGTCCTCTAACCGGAGCTTGCTTCTAGAACTCTGCGAAAAGGAGGGCATGGTCGTCGCCAGCACGTTCTTCGACCGCCCCCCTGAGCACCAGACAACCTGCTACGATGTGGGGTCGCAGCCGGGGGGCCCCGGCTACCCCGCAGCATTTCGGCCAGATCGGTGTTTTGTTGCGCAGTGCTGACTGTCTTCAGCGCGTCGCAGACATTCAGAGCAGGCAGGATGTTGCGCTTGCCTCGCGCCATTTCTTATTGCAGTGCCGCCTTTGCCTGGACGTCGCGATCTCCAACGAGAAGAAGGGCCTAAAGCTGGACTTGTCGACGCTGGCAGACAGACCAGGGCAGCTGCAGTTCAGCGAAAGCTTCTCGCGCAACATGCCAAAAGCATGCCACGAGCAATCGCTGAACGAGCTGAACACTGCCATGGTGAATGCTTTCGCGAACGCTGCTGCTGAGCGTGTTCCCCGCGTGCTGGTGTCAAAAAAACAACCTTGGGTCAGCGGCGCTACTTTGGAGCTGATCACCAAGCGGAACGAGGCCAGGCGGCAGGGGAACGCTGATCTCGAGAAGCGACTACATGGCAGAATTAAAGCTTCCATCAGACCCCGACAGAAGCAATTGGCTCGACAAGCAGCTGGAGACCATAGGAGCAGGTGCGAAAACTCCGAAGACCGCGTGGCGCGACTCAAGGGCGGTCACGCGACGTACGGGGCAGAGCAGTTGATGGCGACGAATGGGCGCAGACATTGGCCGAATACTTCGCCGCAGTCCTGTGGGCCGCCCGGCCAGTAACTGCGATGGACAATTCGGAGCCGCTGGGACCTTCGCTGCCCGTCGCGGACGGCGCGATCACAGAGCCCGAGGTCTGCGCGGCAGCGCGCGCGCTGAGGCGAGGGCGCGCGGCGTACCCGCCGAATTCCGGAAAGCAGTTTGCCATACAGGCACACTGGCATGTGAATGGGCTGTTTTGCTATGCAACAAATGCTGGGCGGAGGCACCTGTTCCAGAGGCGTGGCATGAAACAGTGGTGACGGCCATTTTCAAAAAGGGCGACAGCGCTGACTGCGCAAACTACAGACCAATATCTCTCTTGCCCTTCGGTTACAAGCTCCACGCCATGATCTTGCTTTCCCGCTTGAAGCGCGCCGGCGCCGAGGGCCGTATCTGGGGCACGCAGTTTTGGTTCCGGTCTGGGCGGGGAACAACGGAAGCACTATTCGTCGCCGGGCGGCTGATCGAGGACGCCATGGACACGGCCCCCGGACGCTTGCTCCTGCTCGCCCTTGATTGGGCCAAGGCCTTCGGTAGCGTGTCACCCGAGAGACTTCTTCAGGCATTCAGACGCTTCGGGGTCCCAGAACGCTTCGCCTCTGCCGTGAAAGGGATCTACGAGAACAGGACTTTCTGCGTCCGTGACTCTGGTGAGACTTCTAGCTCCTGGCCCCAGGCCTTCGGCATCTCTCAGGGTTGCCCGTTATCTCCGTTCTTGTGTTCGATCGTGATGAGCGTGCTGATGCACGACGCGACGCGGCATCTCCAGACGCTTGGCCTCCATCAACATGACGACATATCCCTCCACGAGCACATCTACGCGGACGACGCACTTCTCATTGGCGCCGAGGGAGCGCATGTCTCGCTGTTGGTGATGTGCGTGAGGGACGCGGGGGAGCACTACGGCTTTTCATTAAACTGGAGCAAACAATGAATTCTTCCGATACGCTGCCAGCCCCACATCCAACGGCCGGATGGTCAGGCAATACTTCAAAAAGAAAGTATGACATACCTTGGAGGTTTTTCTCTGCTCTGGCGGAGGAAGTGGGCCTGACTTGAGCAGGATATCAGGCATGATGGCGTACAAGGGCTTTGAAGCATTGTGCAAGGTATGGAAGCACAGCAAGGTCCCTCTGAAGAAAAAGGTTGCATTATTTGACGCATGTGTAGAGTCCAGATTGATGTATTGTATGCGCGCTCTGGTTGAACAAAACAGAATGTAAAAAGCTAGCGCGATGCCTGCGCAAACTGTCGAGCATCCCGCATTCATATTATAATAACGTTACCAACGCTATCGTGCTTCAGACTTGCAAGAGCCACAAGTTTAGTTCCCAATTGGCTTACCGCCAATTAGTGCTCATGTGCAAAGTCGCCCAGCTCGCAGAAGACAGCGTGGTGAGACGGTGTGTGTTCGCGCCGGCGAGTTTCGATCTGCGCTGGCGGAGTGGTCGCCGCAAACGGGGCCGACCGAGGAGCTGTTGGAAACGCAATGTCTGTGATCTGGCTCAGAGGGCGGCTGGTAGCCAGGAGGCCTTGCGCAGGCTCTGGCGTCAGGAAGGTGATGCGTGGCCACACGTCGCAAAGCAAAATGCTGCCCATATTTGGCGCCTTTGTTTCTCCTCCTCTTCCTCCTGTCTGCGCGCGGGCGTACAGCACGCTCGAGTTCCACGCTGTCAGACAGTGCACACACTTAGACACGGTCTTGGACGAGGGGGCAGCATGGGGCCACAGATGACCCATCGGGCCCAATGCTCCTCGGGATTCCGGTCCACCTTACGCAAAAGCCTCAGGGAACCCTTGCTGGAGCAGCAGACGGTTTTACATTGGTGGACTCTGTGACTCTCTCAGGTCGGCTGTACAGCTCAGGTTTCTGGCCCACGCTCGCACCAGCCCAGCACGCTAGCTTGGCAGACGGCACTGCGCGCATGTATCTGGCTGTCATACACAAACCACGCACGGACGACACGGCCATGAGCAATGCAGAGGTGCGTGGCGTGGTTTCCAGGCCGTCTTTGGACATGTGCTTGACCGCCCATCGTTTACGCTTGTTCGGTCGCCTGCTATGCAATGGCCCTTTCCATCGTCTCATGGCCCTAGCGGGAGCTGATTATCGTGAAACCCCGCTTTTGCAGCACTCATGGGTCAGGCAGGTGGTGGAGGATCTTCTGTGGCTCCGCCTGTATACCAAAATCGTGCAGGATTTGCCAGACCCTCGTGAAGAACGAGTGCCATGGGAAGCTTTTGTTCGCCGCTCTTTACTCAAGTGGAAGCGGCTGATCCGAGCTGCTCTCACGAGTGCATTGCCTATCACCGGCGCAACATTTTAGCGGAGACCGCCAAGGACTCGATGTTTCAGGTGCTATATGATGTTGGTTTTGCTAGACCCGTCTCGACCCCCTATACCCTCTTCGTGCTCAAGAGGCTCCAGTGGTTCCCCAGTATCTTTGTATGTGGTGCCCTACTGTATTCCTCCCGAGTTTCGAGCTTTATTGTTTGTCTCTCGATATTGCTATCGGTGCGACTCGCGGAGATTTGACCTGCGAGCGAAAGCGCTCTCGGAGATTGTGTCGAGCACGTCCGAGCCAGGAAGATCCTTAACTCGGGCGGGGGGGGGTCCTTGTGAGACGTGGACGGCTGCCCGGTGGTACGAAGGGGGCCCCCCGCCTCTCAGGACCACCCCGCACGTGTGGGGAGTCCCAGATGGCACTCCTATGCAAGGGGGACAGTTGCAGGTAGGCTCTCGCTTGCTTCTCGCCCTGGTCACACTCTCTGAGCCGCACACCTGCGTGCTGGCCCGTCGGGGTGGGGTGAGCGCCCCGTTCCTCCCGACCCGCTTCCTCACGCTCCCGCCTCTCTTCGCTGGCCCCTGGTTAGCTGCTCTGGTTTCTGAAGGCGCCCTGGGACGCGCAAACAAACACACACACACACACAAATCATAGGATGTCCCATATGTTCCCCATATTTTCTGGGCTTCTGTCTTCCCCTCCCCCACTGCCCATCTGTTACATTTTCTAGGGAATCGACGATCAACTGTGTCTGTGTGTTTTTTCTCCTGAGCTTCGGCTGCCCACGCGGGTGCTGCTGATCTTGACCAGTGTGAGCACATGGCCCCTGGCACGGCTTGGCCCTCGGTCGGCAGAGCGCCCCCTCGCCTCGCTGGACTCAGCTCGGTTAAAGTCAACGCCTTGAGAAGGCAAATGCTCTCACGGACGCTCAGTGCACACGAATCTGCTTGGCAAGCATAGGCACTACCGGCTCTTCGAAACTGCTGGCAAAAAAAGGTTTACCCTGTTGGCCCGTGTCAGACCATCGCTCGAGCTGTTTACTCTTCGGTCCTGTCCAGTCCCGAGGAGGACCTGGATGAGATTTGCCAGCCTGACTCTGACGTAGCGTTAGCAGGTCTCCGTCTCTTTTACGTTTCCCCGGAGCGAGGAACCTTCCAAGAAACGCCGCAAGAAGGCTGATCCAGAATATCACAAATTTTGCCAGTGATTTAGATGAGGATCTATGCGCTGAGGCCAACGTGACCTCAGCTCCCACTCCAGCTCCGAGGCCCGACGAGCTGGACCACATAGAGGCGGATGACGAGCAAGCATATCTTGATATGCAGAGCGTGGATGCTTCGGCCTTTTTGGCCAGCCCCGCTCGCTACCCTCGCCCCGTACCCGTCGTCGACGCCGTCGTTTGTCCCTCCTCCTCCTCCTCCTCCTCCTCCTCCTCCTCCTCCTCCTCCTCCCCTCTTCGCATGTTCCTTCTTATTATCCTGCGTGCTCCTCTTCGGCTGGGCTCGGCTCGGCTCGGATGATGAAGGCCGATGAGTCCCAAGACGCGGCCTGCCATGTTTCTCCTCCTCCTCCTCGCATTCGTGCTCTGAGAGCCCAAGGTGCTAAGAGAATTGCTACACGTTGAGATGCCGCCACTCTTATACACCATGCGCTCAGAGCAGTGGCTTCCTACATGAGCGAAGTGATGATGTTACCACACATCTCGGATGGGTTGGATGCGTCCCTGGGCAATGCTTGTAATTACTTCCCGCCCCTGGATAATTGTGCTAACGCTGACTTCGCCGCCTCCGACGGCGACGTCTCCCAGTGCTCCCAACGATGCTCCTGGAAGCCACAAGGGGTCTCAGCAGGTCCAGGAGAAACAAAAAACGTCCCAAACCTGGATCTGGCATCTCCCCCGCCGCCGACGGCGTCGACGACGAATGGCTACGGACGACGCCAGAGGACAACGAAAGACGACGACGAAAACAACGACGACGACGACGAGCGACTCGTGCTCCTGGTCTGGGTCCATGTCCTGATCCGGCGCCGACGACGGCGAAAGACGACCACGACGACAACAACGGCGGCGAACGACGACGACGACGACGACGGCAACAACGGAGTCGACGACGGACGACGCCAGACGACGGCGAAACGACAACGACGACAAGCGACTCCTGCCGCTTGTCTGGGTCCAGGTCCTGGTCCTTCGAGGGTGGGGCGCTCCCGTCCGCGGAATCCTCGGGGGACGTCGCCGCCGTCCTTGAAGTGGCCGCCGTCGTCAAAGTCGTCGGCGAAGTCGTCGTCATCGTCGTCGAAATCGTCGTTGAGTCGTCGCCGTCGCCGTCGTCGCTGCGTCGTCGTGGTTGTTGCATCGTCGTTGCGTCGTCGTGGAGGTGGTCGTCGTCAAAATCGTCGTCGTCGTCCTCGCCGTCGCCGCCGCCGTCGTCGTTGTCGTCGTTGTCGTCGTCTTCGTCGTCGGCGGCGTCGGCGTCGTCGTCGTCATCGTCTTCGTTGTCCTCGTCATCGTCGTCGTCGTTGTCGTGTGTGTCGTCGTCGCCATCGTCGTCGTCGTCGTCGTGGTCGTCGTCATCGCCATCGTCGTCGTCGTCGTGGTCGTCACCGTCGTCATCGTCCTAGTCGTCGTCGTCGTCATTGTCGCCATCATCCAGTCGTCGTCGTTGTCGTCGGTGTTGGCGTCGTCGTCGTCGTTGTCAAAATCATCGTCAAGTCGTCGTCAAAGTGATCGACGTCAAAATGTTCATCCAAAGTCAAAGTCATCGTCTTGGTCCCGGTCCTCGTAAAAATCGCTGTCGTCATCATCAAAGTCGTCGTCATCGTCATCGTCGGCAAAGCCGTCGTCGCCGTCAAAGTCGTCAAAGTCGCCAGCAAAGTCTTCAACATCGTCGGCAACATCGTCGTCAAAGTCCTCGTCATTGTCCCCGTCCTCGTCAAAGTCGTCATCATCGTCACGTCGTCAAATTTGTCAAAATCGTCGTCGTCCTCGTCCCCGTCCTCGTCGAAGTCGTCGTCGTCGTCGCCGTCGTCGTCGTCGTCGTCGTCAAAGCCGTTGTCGTCAAAGCCGCCGTCGTCGAACTCGTCAAAGTCATCAGGGCAAAGTCGCCACAGTCGCCGGCAAAGCCGTCGTCAGAGTCGTCGTCGAAGCCGGCGCTAATGTCGTCGTCGTCAGCGGAATCGTCGCTTTGCGGCGTCGTTGCCATCGTCGGATTCGTCGTCATCCAAACCGCCTTCGTTGAAATCGTCAAAGTCTGCAAAGTTGTTGCTGCGTTGTCGTTGCCGCATCGTCGTGATGGTGGTGGTCATCATCATTGCCGTCGGCGGCAGCGTGCCATATGGAAGAAAAGTCGACGCCAGGGACTGCGTCCCCACGCCGTCGCCAGCGCGCGGTGCCCCTCGACATGCTCAAGCTGGGCAGCCGCCGTGAATCCGAGGCGGAAGCGACGCCGATCGCCTGGACGCCGTGCTCCAGCAGCCAGGAGGCAGGAACCGCCACCTGCTGCGACGGCCGCGGGCCTCGGGCCGCCCGCGACGCGGCCAGGCTCGGCGACGCCGGTGGGGCAGCCGCGCGGCGCGCTCCCTCGCGCCGCGGCAGCGGCGCCCGCGCGCTGCAGGGGCGCTGCGGGTGCGCATGAGCAGGCCGAGCTCGGCAGCGCCGCAGCATCCACCGCGCAAGCGAGGGGAAATTCTAGGGGGGAAAGCTCCAGGGGGAAACGTCGACCTGGAGTCGGCGATGCGTCGCCGATTGATCGGCGGCAGGCCTTCGATAGCGAAACCGCATGGTCTTGGGCGCGGTGGGCCATCGGGCACTTTTATCGGCGATTTGTGGGCGGTCGGGGGACGATGCGCCCCCCCCTGAGCCGATCCCCCCCCCGAACGTTGCCCCTGAGCAAGCAGCTCGGCGCGCAGCGGCGGCGAAACCGAGGGCCACGACAAGTTCACTCATCGTGGAGCGCGAGCCGTGTGGCGGCCCGCTTCAGGAGCGAGGGCTCCAGAGGCAGGCATCCCAAGCCTGATCATAGGATCGCGCGCGGCAAACGCACGGGGTACACTCTGTTGTCGCGGCCGGGGCACGACGCGGTCGCGCTGTGACTGTGCGCGGGCCAGCTCCTTGCACATCTGCGCAGCATGAAGAGAAGCAGGGCGGCCGCGGAAACGTGCAACGAGGGGGCGAGAAACGCTGAGGACATCGAGAACTCCACGCGCGGTGCCAGCGGCCTCAGGCCCACCGTGGGGTCGTCGTGCCAAGGGGGCCGCAGCTGTGCTAACCAGGGTTTTCTTTGACTGCGAATTCGGGCGCTGCACGCAGCCGCGGCCCTTGGGCCAGCAGCGCCTCGTCTGGCACCTTCGGCAGATGCACGATCCGCTGCGCCGCCAGGCGCGCAGAAGCCGCCAGGCTGCCCCTAGCGCAAGACAGGTCGCCCAGGAGCAGAGCCGCCTGGCGCCGCGCCGGCAGACGCTCCCGCCACCCAGGGCACGCGCTCCCGAACACCTCTGCTGCCGACGCCGCGCTGGCGGTGCATCTTGGAGCGTCCTGCCGTTCGGGATAGCTTGGTCCGCGCTGATGGTGTCCTCGACCGTCTTCACGCGGTCGATCAGGCGGCCGGAGACTGGCTGTTGCTCGACCGTCCTTGCGGGGACTCGACCTTCGTGCGAGTGATCTCGCCCAACAGGCTGCTCATCATCGCCTTCATATTATGCATGTCCTTGGAGGGCTCGGGCTCGTCCGCGGAGGCTGCCACCGAGTGTCCCGCCTCCTCGTCGCTGCCCAGGTCGCTACCAGGGGGAGTCCGTCCAGCCAGGAGAGGGGTCGGCCGCCTCTTACAGCAGCGGTAGATGCTCGGGCCCATCGCGATCAGCGACGTGACGATCAGGATCGGGAGCTCGAGCTTGCCGTCCTCGCACAGGTCGTGCAGGTAGCCCCTGAAGTCGTCGACCTCCAGGAGCAAGTTGTTGCCGTCTTCGAGCTTCTCGACCGTCCAGCGCATCCACTGCCAGAGATTGAAACACCCCGCCATCCGCCAGCCGAAGAAGAGGGCGCCCACCGTCGAGCCCCAGCTCCACGTACCCCAGAGGCCAACAAGCCCCGAGCGAACCCAGGACAAATGCGAGACCCACCCGCGCAAGTTGCTGATGCAGAGCTCGGCCTCCAGCTGCTTCTCCTTGGCCCGCTCCAGGATCTCGGCCTTCTCGGTGGCCGTCAGGGCGGGGAACGCGTCGTAGTTCCACCCTCTCTGGCGGCGGCTCGACAGCTTCGTCCGATCCTTGATGTTGCCGACGCCCAACGCCCGATCGGGCTTCACGTAGATCCAACGGGTGTCGTTCTTCTTCTTGGGGTACAGTCGCATCGCCATGAGCACCACCTGAACGCGCTGTGGTGCGGACGTCTTGTAGAACCTGCTCCATCGAGTGACGCTGGACATGTGAACCCTGAGGTAGTCGTAGAGACTCAGCCGTTCCGAGTCTCTGGTGTACCTCAAGGACGCGTCGTCCTCGGGGTCCACAAGCGGCTTGGCCAGGAAGAAGTCGAGGACCCCGAAGTCCCCGATGTGGGCGGCCCTAGCGAGCCACCACCGCCTCGCCGTGGCGCCAGAGATCGCGCGCTCGCGACGCGAGCTCCCACCGCGGAGGGCGGAAGGGCGCGCGAGCACCTGGCTCGAAGACCTTCGAGCCAGAAAAAACTTGAGCGGACACGCAAGCAGCAGACAGGCTGCACAATGTTCCGGGAAGCGTCTTCCGGAACGCTCTGAGGGCGGGAGGAAGGATGCACCTGCGCTGCTATCCTACACGGCCAACCCCGACCCATCCTCCCCGAGACGCGATCAATTTAGTTTCGGAAGACGATCAGCGGAGGAAACGAGCAGAAAGACTGCAGTCCTCGAGACCTCTAGAGGACTAGCAAGCACGAGCAGTTACGAGGATGAGGGGTCAACGGAGGTGGGGGCAGGGGGGACGACCAGAGGAGGAATGAGGGGAAGGCGGGGAGGAGGTGGTGAGGGGGGGGAGGTGCACGGCTCGCTCCCTCTGCGATGCACCTGGCGAGGAGGGGGAGGCGGAAAAGCAACATCAGCAGGGGGGCGAGAACGAGAGAGGGAGAAGGATGATGTGGAAGAGAAGCAGAGAGCGGGCGAATATGATGAGGAGGTGAGGACAACGACAACGACGACGAGCATGACGAGCACCAGAATCCGAGGATGCGGCCCACCTCCCCCCTGGAGCAACGAGGAGAGCAACGACCTCAGGCAAGCGGACGGCGGCCGAGGAGACCGAGGAGGGCGCGCTGGACGAAGGGGGGGCGAGGACCACGACGACTCCCACGGCCGCGACCACTGTCACCCAGTGGCGACGACGACGCCGCCGCTGCCGCCGACCTCCACGCCGCTGCCTGGGACGCCGAAGGCCGCCCCAGCGCCCCCGGAAGGCAGCCGCCGCGGGCCCCCCGGAGGGGCCGCCAGAGGGCCTACAGGGGCCGAGGGGCTCCGAGGGCCTCCGGGAGGGGGGGGGCCGCCGTCGAGGCGTCCTCGGAGTGGGTCCGCTTCGCCGGGTGCCACGACTTGGACGTCTGCTCGTCGGGGTCGCTGTAGGTCTTCTCCTGGGGCGCACCGCCTCGTCGCCCTCGTCCTCGTCCTCGTCCTCGTCCGCGTCCGCGTTCCGCGTCCGGGTCCGCGTCCTCGTCGTCGTCGTGGCAACGAGGAGGTGGACAGGTACGCCAAGGAGGGGGCCCACACGTGGAAGGGCAAGCCGAAGAGGCGTCTGGCGGCGGCAGGTGCATACTACCTGGCCAAGTCAACGGCGAGGTGGATAGCACAGTCGGCGGTCTAGTGACAGGACCAAGAGCAGGATGCAGACGGGATCCCGAGCAAGACGATGACTGAGCTGGACGCCATGCCCGAAGAGATGCACAACTTCTGCGAGGAGGCGAGGAGACAGGAGGACAGTGACACGGCAGGAGGTGATAAGGAGGAGCCTGGTGAGGAAGCCACAGCGGAAGAAGTCGAGGACCTGGTGGGCTGGATAGGCCACCACCTCTGCGAGCACCGTGTAACCCACTCGGAAGAGCGAGGCCTGGCGTGCAGGAGGTGCGGGACCGGCTGCATGGCAGGCAGACTGGCGACGCAGCGGGCCACGAAAGGGCTGATGTTCCAGCCGTGCCGAGGAGCGAAGGCGCCACGGGAGCAGCTAAGGAGGCTTCCGCTGGAAAAACGGCCTAGACCTGATCGGGGTGCGACGAGATGCGAGTTCCTGAGCAGGGTCAGCCGTGGCCTAAGGCGGAGCTGACCCTGGCAAAAGGAGGAGGGGTGCGCCTGCACCAAGGAGACGGAGGAGACACCGAGGAGGCCTGAGGGCTACGGCAGGAGGCTGCCTCTCAAGCCCCTGGTGGACGTCTGCACGGCCTACGACACCAGTGAGTGGGGACTGCTGGAGCGGGGGGCGCTGGCCAAGCAAGAGGAGGCAGAGAACATGGCAGCGCGAGCCGAGGAGGGCGGGCGGCCGCGAGGAAAGGAGTCCTCCTCCTCCTCCTCCTCCTCCTCCTCCTCCTCCTCCTCCTCCTCCTCCTCCTCCTCCTCCTCCTCCTCCTCCTCCTCCTCCTCCGGGGCTGAGAGCAGCGCCACCCCGTGCGAGGGGCCTGGTCTGCGCCGAGGCGGCGAGAAGGGAGGCCCGCCTGCGAGGAGGCAGGCCCGAGGAGGCGGGCGGGAGAGCGCACGCCACGCAGGGGCGCGAGTGCCTGTCCTGGGGTGCGGTCGCCCCGATTGGGGGGGGGGCCATGTCAGGCAGGGGCGCGAGTGTCCGTCCTGGGGGTGGGGGCTGCCCGGCCTGGGCGCCTCGCGCGCACCGAGCGTTCGGGGGGCCCGCCGCGCGCGTCGGCCGCGCGGCCGACAGCGTGGCGCCAGCGGCGCCGTCAGAGACCGACAGGGACCGTCGTCGTCGTCGTCGTCGTCGTCGTCGTCGTCGTCGTCGTCGTCGTCGTCGTCGTCGTCGTCGTCGTCGTCGTCGTCGTCGTCGTCGTCGTCGTCGTCGTACAAGCCCCCGTTTATTACGGGCACCGTACAGGGATTCATGTTCACTGACGGAAATGCCTCGGTTTGAACAGAGCCGTTTGAAAATCCCGAACAGCGCCAAAACACCATCGTTGGGAGTTCAACGCCTCGAGTCACGATTACTGATGCATCTTGACGATCCTGAAGCGTACCAGAACACCCTTCCTGGGACTTGAACAGCACGAATCAACGTTACTGTTGCGCCCTGGCAATCCGACATGTGGCCAAAACGCAATTGCTGGGACGCTAACCATGCGAGCCCGTGAAAGTGTTGCAATAAAATATTAAAACGAATGTGCGCGGCGCTGAACCGAAAACCAAATGTTGAAAAAGACCCGACCTTCATCCGTGAAGTCTCTACCTTTTGTTATGACGAATGTGCACGGCGCTGAGGCGAGAACCACAATTTGAAAACGACCCGCGCCCCATGCGGAAAACTCGTGCAATGTCTTATGACGAATGCGCGCGGCACGAATGCGAGAACCATATTTGAAAACGACCCGCCCTCCATCCGTGAAAGTCGTGCTAAGGCGGAAACCACATGTTGAAAACCACCCGCCCTCCATTCTAACAAAGGATTTGCGCGACGCTACGGCGAGAGCCACATTGTGAAAACCACCCGCAAGTTCCAGGATCAGAAACGGTAGGGAAGTCTCGAGCGAAACGCCTGGCCTGCCTTTTCCGACTGGCCTCGGGGTGCGACGGGGAGGAGTTATCCATAAGGAAAAAGGAATGGAGAGGAAGGAGGAGGAGGAGGAGGATCAGAAGAAGGAGAAGGCGGAGGAGCAAGGACAATTGAGGAGGGGGAGGACAAGGAGGAATCCCCCCTGGGCGTCTCCAGCTTGGCCAGCCGCTCCAACAAAGAGTCGATCTGCTTCGCAGTGGCCGAGTTGCTGGCCTGCAGCTTTTTGGCGGCCCGCTTCTCCACCTGGCCGTCGTCGCCGCCCGCCGCCGCCGCCGCCAACGAGGAAGAGACCGAAAGGAGAATAGGCCAAATTCGTATTGCTCCTGATGGGCGGGTTGGACAGGCACGCTCTGGGCCGCCATCAGAGCGAAAACGAAGTGGCAGGAACATATGTATCTGTGCAAGAGTATATATATATATATATATACATATATACTAGAACCATCGCGCGCGCTTCGCGCGCGCTCAGGTTCTAGCAGGCCCCAGATCTTGACGAATTCATTGCTCCACTGAAGTAGTGGACCACAGTCCACGCATGCCAATCTGCCTTCTGCCTTCAGAAAGGCCTTCGAGGAAAATGGTTGTGTAGGGGGGCGGAGCGGAGGCCGTTTGAATCGGGTTCCCAGAAGGCCTTCTGGGAGCATGGGTGTGGTTGCGTCTTGGGGAGCCTGTTGGGGCGTGCCGTCGTCGTCGTCGTAATGTCGTCGTCGCCTATTGGGGCGCGCCGTCGTCGTCTTCGTCGTCGTTGTCTTCGTCGTTTCGTCGTCGTCGTCGGTTCAAGAGGGCACTTGGGGCAACTTTGTGCGAAACGATCTCCAGAGGGCCGCGAGAAGGCGATCAGTCATGTTCTCAATCAACTTCCCAGACAGCTCTCCTGTAGCATGAAGGTACTTCGAAGCCTCCAGAGACTCGCGGGCCCATGATCAACCATGTCCCCGGAAGGCTTTCTGGGGACATGGTTTGTTGGGGTGTGTTGGGGGGTCTCTTGGGCGTTCCCTGGGGGCCCTTGGGGGCCTCCGGGAACTCTCGGGCCCATGATGAACCATGTCCCCGGAAGGTTTTCTGGGGACATGATTTCTTGGGGTGTGTTGGGTTGCCTCTTGGGCGTTCCCTGGGAGCCCCTTGGGGGTCTCTTGGGGCTTCCTGGGGGCCTCTTGGGCCGCCTCACGGGGCTTCGTGGGAGCCTCGTGGTGGCCTCCTGGGGCCTACAGGCGGCCTCTAGGGCCAGAGACCTCGAAATATCGGTTGGCGGTCCCCCTCTGGGCCCTCTCTTGGGGAGCTCTTGGGGCACAGTTGGGTTGTCTGGGGAGCCTCCTGGGCCGTCTTGGGGCCCTCTTCGGGGCCTCGTGGCCCGTCTTGGAGCGATCTGAAGGGGCTCCAAGCGAGGCCGTGAGGGAGCGCAGGGAAGCGGGGGAAGCGAGAACGCCTAAATCCTTCAAAAACCATCGGATAATTAGTGAATATTGCCTCTTAGGGCCCTCTTGGGGAGCCTCTTGAGTCCGTCCTGGAGCGTGTTGGAGTCCTCGTCGGCCGTCTTGAGGGCATCTTGGGAGTCTTCGGGGCCTCTTGGGACCGTCTAGGGCCCTCTCGGGACCTCAATTAGCCTGTCGTGGCCTGCTTCGGGGCGGGCCCGGGCCGCCTCGGGACCCCTCTGGGCCTTCTCTTGGCGCGCTCTTGGGGCACACTTGGGTTGTCTGGGGAGCATCCTGGGCCGTCTTGGGGCCCTCGTCGGGGCCTCGTGGGCCTTCTTGGAGCGATCTGAAGGGCCTCCGAGGCCGTGGGGGAGCGCTGGAAAGCGGAAAAAGCGAGAACGCCAAAATCCAAAACACTCGGAAAACGAGTGAATCTTGCCTTCCAGGGCCCTCTTGGGGAGCCTCTTGAGTCCGTCCTGGAGCGTGTTGGAGTCCTCGTCGGCTGTCTTGAGGGCATCTTGGGCGTCTTCGGGGCCTCGTGGGACCGTCTTGGGCCCTCTCGGGACCCCCTTAGCCTGTCGTGGCCTGCTTCGGGGCGGGCTCGGGCCGCCTCGGGAGCTCTGGACCCCCCCCCGCAAACCCCGGTGGGCACCGATGGGGGGAACAGGCAGCGGCCCGCCCCCCCCCCCCGGGCCTACTCCGAGATAGAGAATCATGTTCCCAGGAAGCTTTCCGGGAGCATGATTTGTTCGGCTCTCTAAGAGGGGGGCCTCTGGGGGCTTACCGAGGGGCGCCTTTTGGCCTTGTCGGCAAGCCTATTGGAAACATGGTTGGGGCGGTGGGCGGAAGCCCAAGGAATCATGTTCCCGGAAAGCTATCTGGGAAATACGATTTACCGAAGTGTCTTGGGGGCCCGCAGGGGGCTTCCCTGGGGGCCCCTCCCTTCCGGGGGGCCTCTTGGGAGCCTCACGGGGCTTCTTGGGAGCCTCTTGATGGCCTCCGGGGGCGTCCTAGGAGCCTCTCAGGCCGGAGACCTCGAAATGTCGCGCTCTTCGGGCCCTCTTGGGTCGCTCTTGGGGCTCTCTTGGGGCGCTCTCGAGGCCCTCTTGACTTATCTGGGGAGCCTCCTGGGCCGTCTCTGGGCTTTCTTGGGAGCCTATTCGGCCGTCTTGGAGCGATCTGAAGGGCCTCTGACGCGGTCCGGGACCGTGGGGAGGCGGAACATGGGAGAGCGCAAGAATGCTTCAAAAACCATTGGAAAATGCATGATTTTCGGCTTCTGGGGCCCTTTGGAGGGCCTCTGGGCGTTTTCTTTGGGTCGGGAACCCCGAAATCATGTTCCCTGAGAGGCCCGGAGAGGCTCCCGGGAACATGATTTCGAACGAGGCCCTCTTGGGCCTCCCGGAGGCCGTCTTGGGGGGGGGCGTGTCTCGTCGTCGTCGTCGTCGTCGTCGTCGTCGTCGTCGTCGTCGTCGTCGTCGTCGTCGTCGTCGTCGTCGTCGTCGTCGTCGTCGTCGTCGTCGTCGTCGTCGTCGTCGTCGTCGTCGTCGTCGTCGTCGTCGTCGTCGTCGTCGTTGTCGTCGTCGTCGTCGTCGTCGTCGTCGTCGTCGTCGTCGTAATGTCATCGTCGCCTATTGGGGCGCGCCGTCGTCGTCGTCGTCGTCGTCGTCGCCGTCGTCGTCGTCGTCGTCGTCGTCGTCGTTTCGTCGTTGTCGTCGATTCAAGAGGGCACTTGGGGCAACTTTGTGCGAAACGATCTCCGGAGGGCCGCGAGAAGGCGATCAGTCATGTTCCCGATCAACTTCCCAGACAGCTCTCCTGTAGCATGATGGTACTTCGAAGCCTCTGGAGACTCGCGGGCCCATGATGAACCATGTCCCCGGAAGGCTTTCTGGGGACATGGTTTGTTGGGGTGTGTTGGGGGGTCTCTTGGGCGTTCCCCGGGGGCCCCTTGGGGGCCTCCGGGAACTCTCGGGCCCATGATGAACCATGTCCCCGGAAGGTTTTCTGGGGACATGATTTCTTGGGGTGTGTTGGGGGGCCTCTTGGGCGTTCCCTGGGAGCCCCTTGGGGGTCTCTTGGGGCTTCCTGGGGGCCTCTTGGGCGCCTCACGGGGCTTCGTGAGAGCCTCTTGGTGGCCTCTGGGGGCCTACAGGCGGCCTCTAGGGCCAGAGACCTCGAAATATCGGTTGGCGGTCCCCCTCTGGGCCCTCTCTTGGGGAGCTCTTGGGGCACAGTTGGGTTGTCTGGGGAGCCTCCTGGGCCGTCTCGGGGCCCTCTTTGGGGCCTCGTGGCCCGTCTTGGAGCGATCTGAAGGGCCTCCGAGCGAGGCCGTGAGGGAGCGCAGGGAAGCGGGGAAAGCCAGAACGCCTAAATCCTTCAAAAACCATTGGAAAATTAGTGAATCTTGCCTCCCAGGGCCCTCTTGGGGAGCCTCTTGAGTCCGTCCTGGAGCGTGTTGGAGTCCTCGTCGGCCGTCTTGAGGGAAACTTGGGCGTCTTCGGAACCTCTTGGGACCGTCTAGGGCCCTCTCGGGACCTCCATTAGCCTGTCGTGGCCTGCTTCGGGGCGGGCCCGGGCCGCCTCGGGACCCCTCTGAGCCTTCTCTCGGCGCGCTCTTGGGGCACACTTGGGTTGTCTGGGGAGCATCCTGGGCCGACTTGGGGCCCTCGTCGGGGCCTCGTGGGCTTTCTTGGAGCGATCTGAAAGGCCTCCGAGGCCGTGAGAGAGCGCTGGAAAGCGGGAAAAGCGAGAACGCCTAAATCCAAAACACTCGGAAACCGAATAAATCTTGCCTTCCAGGGCCCTCTTGGGGAGCCTCTTGAATCCGTCCTGGAGCGTGTTGGAGTCCTGGTCGGCTGCCTTGAGGGCATCTTGGGCGTCTTCGGGGCCTCGTGGGACCGTCTTGGGTCCTCTCGGGACCCCCTTAGCCTGTCGTGGCCTGCTTCGGGGCGGGTTCGGGCCGCCTCGGGAGCTCTGGACCCCCCCCCCCCGCAACCCCTGGTGGGCACCGATGGGGGGAACAGGCAGCGGCCCGCCCCCCCCCCTCCCGGGGCTACTCCGAGATAGAGAATCATGTTCCCAGGAAGCGCTTTCCGGGAGCATGATTTGTTCGGCTCTTTAAGGGGGGGGCCTCTGGGGGCTTACCGAGGGGCGCCTCTTGGCCTTGTCGGCAAGCCTATTGGAAACATGGTTGGGGCGGCGGGCGGAAGCCCAAGGAATCATGTTCCCGAAAAACTATCTGGGAAATACGATTTACCGAAGTGTCTTGGGGGCCCGCAGGGGGCTTCCCTGGGGGTCCCTTGGGTGGGATCCTCACGGGGCTTCTTGGAAGCCCCTTGATGGCCTCCGGGGGCGTCCTAAGAGCCTCTCAGGCCGGAGACCTCGAAATGTCGCGCTCTTCGGGCCCTCTTGGGTCGCTCTTGGGCTCTCTTGGGGCGCTCTCGAGGCCCTCTTGACTTGTCTGGGGAGCCTCCTGGGCCGTCTCTGGGCTTTCTTGGGAGCCTCTTCGGCCGTCTTGGAGCGATCTGAAGGGCCTCTGACGCGGTCAGGGACCGTGGGGAGGCGGAACATGAGAGAGCGCAAGAATGCTTCAAAAACCATTGGAAAATGCATGATTTTCGGCTTCTGGGGCCCTTTGGAGGGGCCTCTGGAGGCGCTCTTGGGGCGTTTTGGCGGCGTCGTCGGCCGTCCTCAGGCCATCTTCGGCGTGTCCAGGAGCTCTGGGGGCTGTCTTTGGGCGTCCTGGGAACCCCGAAATCATGTTCCCTGAGAGGCTTCCGGGAACATGATTTCGAACGAGGCCCTCTTGGGCCTCCTGGAGGCCGTCTT